CGTTCGTTCGTTCGTTGGAATAGTTTGGCGACTTTCGTAACCTTCTCGCAACGAAATCCGTGAATGCGTCAGCCATTGAGCGTCAGCGAATGAACGAACGACGTGAAAATGGCCGTGTATCGACGCGAATCGTATGTTTTATCGCGCGATCCTTCCTTTGTTTGCCTTCGTCTTTGTTGGTGTTGATTCGTCAAAGGTCTGGCTCGAACGTAGCTTATCTTTTATCTTGGTTTCTCTCTTTTTGTCTTAATTTCTTATTTTTCATCGTGTTTGTTCTTGTTGTTGTTCGTTGCGTGGATCGTCGTGCAACGTACGTCCGTCCGTCAGCTTGAATGTAGCGCGCAGGATAAAAACGCGATGGCTGAGTCTGATTGGCGTTTGCTCGGAACGTTACCGACGTATCGCTCCGCCGTGTCCGTTTCTATAGCGACCTCTGTCGCCGTTCGATTGTCTCGTCGAAGATACCAACGAATTATCGGTTGCCAAGTTGCTAACAAATTGCCAAGAATGTATATACAACGGTCGTTGAGAAATTCATAAACAGTCGTCGTTCGTCCTTTGTATTCTGTATCGCGTAAACGTCGAGATAAAGTGTAAAATTTCCTTTGTAGCGACTTTGTCGTTTGTCGATCGTCGTACCTGCGGATATGTAGCCGAGTCTGTTCCAGCCGTCTCTCGTCGAACAGAGTTCGTTTCCGATAAATTCACGGCGCCAACTGCGAAACTTCGAAACGAGAAGTTACGCGTGTACGTCGGTCTTTCGACCGATTACCAACGAGTCGTCAAACGTCGAGGAAAACGTAACGAATTATCGAGGCGAATATGTACGCGGTCTGCGGTCTACGGTCGTCGTTGAACGATCGGTTAAAACGGTGATTCGTTTGTAATTCGATCGAATTGTTTTACTCGCGACAACTGTGGGAAAACACGGTTGCGCGATACGTGTGTTTCTTACCGTCTGAAACGAGTCCGAAACGAGCGAAAATTTTTATACGTTGCCCGATCGTTCTAAACCGACTGTCGCTGCTTCGTCTGCTGATTTTTCGGTACGTGACTTTTCTCTGGATAAATTTCTATTTGACGTACGTCGATGCGGTTCTAACTGAAAGATTAACATCGCGAAAGTGTAAATTTAGTTTTGGCCGATGAGTAACGATGAATTGATAAATTACCAAACGTTCCAACGTGTTCGTGAAAGTGTGTAAACTTGCGATAGAAATGTAAGAACTGTTAAATTATCGATCGGTATGGAAAAACTGTTTTTAGAGATTGTTCTGAGAGAAATTGTTCCGGATCGCTGACGACCAAACGCGTTCGACAGTACCGACCTTGGGCGGTAAGGAGACTCGTTACCGATTAAACTTCCGTCAAAGTTTGAAAAAAATTATCGATCGGTCCGGATCACCGACGACCGAAATATCGGATTAACCTCGAGCGATAGGGAGGCTCGTTGTCGATTCGACTTTCGATGTGTACGCAAACATTAGAAGAGAAATTTTAAAAGTTTTTTCTTGACGAAAAAAAGTTATCGACTGTTCCGGATCACCGACGACGGAAATGTTCGATCAACCTTGAGTGGTACGACGGAGACTCGTTGCCGATTGAACATCCGTCGTGTGCGCGTCGACTCGGCGGAACAACGCCAGGGACATCGTGGGATGCGTGCGTCTCGACAGTTTTAGTCGACCTCTGTAAATTCGTTGCAAACGCGTTCTGCGCAAACACGCGTTTATCGAACTTGGGACGAGATTGCGAATCCCTCGTCTCCTTTCTTCTTTCGTTCGTTTTTGCTTCTGTCGTTGCGCTGGAGTCGGGTCTCCGACTGGTTTTGTAGCCAGTGTGCCGAATCGGGGAACTGCAGCCTCGTCCGAAACGGCGGGGTGAGATTCTCGTAGTCTAGCGTCCTTGGTAATCCGACTCGGCGGTTCCGCGGAACCCCGCTGCGTCGTTGGGGGTAGCGCTAGACTACTTGCGTCCAAATGCTCGAACCTCGATTCGGCACACCGACTGCGAAACTTGGAAGTTCGACTCCAGCGTCGAGCGGACAAAGTGGCAATGGCAACGACGAACGAAGGAAGGGACGAGACGAGACGAGGGATTCCTAATTTCGTCTTCCCGAGTTCGACGTACGTGTCTTTGTACCTTGAATGCGGTGGTACGGCTGCGAATTGTTGTATGATCGTGCGTATGGATGGGATGTATTGTGCGATGTATTGTAAGCCCCGGGGCGGGTCTCGCGCGTAGTCGCCTCCTCGTGGTGAGACCTGGTAATTGGTAATTGGTTTTGCAAACGTTAAAGTTTGTAAAACCTTGTCGCGCCAAGTTGTAAAAGTTGGTCGATGAACGGTAAACTTTGATGTTTGCGAAACGATATCGAGCTGAGAACTACGCAACGCGAAAGTTTCTTCCCTTTCTTTTGTTTCGCTGATCGTCCGAACTGAACTGTAGGGACGATTGGTTGGTTGATGAGTAAAATGTTAGACCTCCGCAGCGGAGCGGAGCGGAGCACGGTTGGACGACGAGAGACGGACACTGGACGACGTGGGATTGCGCAAACGTGCGATCGTGAAATGCGTGCGTTTTATCGTTACGTTACGTCCGTTTGCGCCACTTTTAATCGATCGTAAGACGATTAATCTGCAAATTCGCAGCTAAGCACGTTCTATGTTGTGGAATATTACGCTCGTCGTACGACACGTGCGAAACGACCTCTTTTCTAAATACGTGAAATGTGTCAAACTGTTTTCGAACTCGATGGCACGACGAATCGACCCTTACCCTTCCGAGTCCCTGCCGAGTATTTTACGGATGGCGCCACCGTGCCGATCTGCAAGCTCTCTGCGTTTACGTGAAGAAAAAGTTGGCGTCGACAGGTGGCGCCATCGCGTCCGTGTCTGTAGCTACGATGACCGATGAATTATAAATTCACCGTGCTACGAATAACTGTACGCTTTGTTGTTGTTGATATTTTTGATATTTATGACTGTTGTTTAACGATGTTCGATCGAACGATAAAAATTAATTGATCAACTATTCGTACGCTTTTGATTGACCGAATAACTTTAGACTCTAGATTGTAGAATGTTCGATGTTCGATATTTTTACGTCCTTGATCTCTTTTACGACTCTCGTTTGTATCTTCGCTAATTTGTTACGCGTCTCCTTGGTAATTTTGTTAAGACGTTCATCTTTATATAGTTTCTTGTTCCGAGAGTTTCGCAAAGTTGACGGTTGAGAGACAGATGTCGCTGCGTATCTGTAGGTACGATGATCGATAAATAACAAAGTCGTCGTGCTACGAAGGAAAATTTTATAATTTGTTTTAACGTTTGCGTGATACGGAATATAACGACGGATGAACGACGACTGTTTGTTAGTTCCTCGACGACTGTTGCATATATTCTTGGTAATTTGTTTGCAACTTGGTAACCGATAGTTTGTCGGTATCTTTCGACGAGACGATCGAATGGCAATAGATGTCGCTCGTACGTGTCGAAGCTCTTCGCGCTCGGATGCGAAGAAAGGAAGAAAGAAGAGAGAAAAAGGAAAAAACTGACCAGAGTTGTCGGCGTGCCGCGTTCGAAACTTCGAAACGAACGAACAAAGATTTTCAAAGCTCCTCCGATCGAGTCGGAATCTCGCTCCGACAAAGGCCGTTTAATCGCGCGCAAACGAGAGAGAGTGTAATTTCGCTTCGAAACTGTCTCTCCGCGTGATGAGCCGCGTCGTCGGTTGCGAAACGAGTGTACGTTCGACGACGGTGGAACCACGATGACTCTTCCCGCGACGAAAATAACGACCAAGATGGATCCGGTCGTGTCGCCGTTGCGAGAAAACCCGAATTGAAAACGAGATTGATCGCAACGAGAAGAGAAAGGAGGGCGATTTGCTGATCCCACCGCGTTTAAGATCGCGCGTATCGTGCTCTCGTTGATGGCGAGAGAAAAGAATGTCATTGTTTCGATGGATTTAATGGCAGTTGCGAGAACGTCGCAGAGAGCCGATCCGCCGATCGCTTAAACGTTCTTCGACGAAGAAAGCAGGAAGGTTGGTCGCATCGCGAGAGGGAACTACCTACTATCGGTTACACGCTTGCGCCTTTGCCTACCCTTGGCGTAGCCTACCCTTGGCACCGTCTCACCGCGATTCCGCGAGTGGCGGAACGCATCGTTTACGAACGTCGAACGTCGACGAAGCTAGTGTTGATCTCGACGTTGGTGGTTTTTCGCGTACGTGCGTCTCTTTCGTCGTCGGTCGATCGTTCGTCTTCGAAACACACGTACGTCCG